GAAAGCCACAGTGTTAAGGTATTTACTTCAGTCTCCTCTGTCTGCTGGCCTTGTGTAGAGCACTCCAGAATCTTTGTGTATGGTGGAGCTCAGGGCAAAGCTTAAAAGAAGGCTGTTTTCTCAAGAGGAAGATTGTGTTGACTCCTACATAGGTAATTCTATTTTTATAGTATGTTTATTATAGCAATTAGAAAACTTAATATTGAGTTTAATTTAAAATGAGAGTATCATTACATATTTTGAAACAAGTTCTCATTTCAAAATAATTAACTGAATAATTCATTTATTCCTTTAACTTGTAATAAGGTTATCATTTTCAAAAACCATTAGCATTTGTCACATTAGAAACACTGAGTGATTCATATATCCACTACTTTGAAATAACACTTTTGCACAAAATAAATTTTGTTTTTAATGTAAACTATTTTATTAATTTTTATAAATTTTTTATCCATTAGTTTTGGCATCAGAGTGTAGTGGTTTGCATTATAATTACTCAGTGGCTTTTAAAATTCTATAAGGGAACTGTTGGTTTAACATTTAAATTTTTCTAGACTGTATGTTTCTAGTCTTCCAATTTTTTCTAAGAAATTTTTAGTAATTGAAAAGTAGAATGTCATTTGATAGTGTTTCATTTTTTAATTAACTGAATGGAATTTTTTCTGTGAAATATTTTATTTTCAAGAACATACTACCATCCCAATTATTTAGAACAGTTGTTTACTCCTTCAGGGATATGCTTCATTTTGTAAAACTCTAAGCTAGATAATTAGAGAACACAAAATTAGAGTTCAGAAAGAAAAGAGAATTACTAATGAATATGAATTATTTTTCTTTAGAGACTGTTTCTGGATTCCTATAACTGAACACAGAACATAGAGGCCTCCTTCACAAACATGTTAGAGAAGTGCTATTATTATAAGCCCATATTCCTGTGCATTGTAGAAGATGAATTACATCCTGGATCAGTACAGGTAATGTACCTCAGTGTGTGTCCAGTGGGCAGAGACTAAAAATGCCACATATTTAAGCTGTGCAGAGGGTATTATTCAATAACTTCTACCAGAATAATCAACAGTGTCAGTGTAAAACATGAAAATTTTGATTTTAGTTCTAACAACTCACAGTATGCAATCTAAAAGCTTTTTCTTTGACCCTTGACCTTCATTTCTTGTCCAACATTAAAAGTAAGCTAAGTAAGCTTTCCTATATACTAATTCATTTTAACCTCACATTTTAGTCTAAAGTTGTAAAATATCAAAGCAAGTTATATATAGTTAGTGTTTGTTTGCCTTTTTAATCTCTCAGGAGTTCTAGGCTTATATTCTAAATTGCCTTTAATATAAAGTATACTTTGCAATCATTTCCAGCACTGTATCCAAAAGATAATTTGACTACTGCACCACTAGTTTTTGTATTTCATGTCTTTTCTTTTTAAATAAAAGCACCAACATTCTATGCTATCGGAAGTTAAGACACTGATTGCTTACGTACTTGTTCTTATCTCATCTTCAGCTTTGGTGACTGAGGCCCCAAATTAACTCCAGGTTTATTACTCTCTAAGTCCATTCCCATCAGCCTCGTTATCCCAGCTCCTGCAGTCCTGCCCTTGTAGCTGATTCCCTCCAATAACTTTGTCTAGGTCAAAACTATCTGGGAAAGGAAAGCATATGCCTCAAAAATATAAGTTGACTTACATAAAACAGATGAGTTTGACAGAGAGAGAGAGAGAGAGAGAGAGAGAGAGAGAGAGAGAGAAGTACTGGTATGACGTGAAACACAGAACGATGGGATATGGAATAGCCTACAATTAAAATTTTTGTTTTGTTTTGATTTTTTATATTAATTTTATTGAGAAAGAAGTAGCAATGAGAGTTTCAAAACAGGTTAGTAGGACAGTTGCAATAATTAGTATACTGCATATTGTTGTCTTTGTAGTAGTTATTCATAGTACAAGATGCAGACATAATATCTTGGCTGAACACTATTAGTTAAAAACTTTCTTCTCATTGAGCTAAGAGAAAGTTGCTGCAGATCTATGTTAACTATTTTGTATATACATATATATGTATTTTTTTCACTACAAAATGGTCTTTCATTTATATCCCCCATTTTTTTTTTTACTTTTGTCGGAGATGGGTATTCCATTGCCATTCATATATTGTAGGTGCATGAATTCAGCAAAATCATCCAATATAATCCAGTGGTCTGCAATAGTAATGGGTTATCCACATGACTGGCAATATCAGAAGTTGATTTGAGCCTTTTACAGCTCAGCATATTAATATGGCTTTACTTTTTATACCTGGTTTTTATAATTTTCTTCTGTATAGTTAAGACCAAGATAAAGCAAGATCTGTATAACAAATAATGTAACTTTTGTACTTGACAAGGCCAGTCAAATCCCCTCAGGATTTACCCTGAAACCCTGTACCACAGTTTGTAGATCCTTTGTCAGTGTCAGTCATGTGGATGAGTCATGGCCAATGCTTGGCCAGTGTGCTCCCTGTGAAAGCCTGAGAGAATGTTTTCTCTCCATGTGACTCTTCTTAGGCACACTCTACATCATCAATCACTTTCCTCTGAGGCCCCCTAATCTCATTGATCAGAAAATTTGGGACACCACTGAGTTACAATTAAAAATTTTGCTCTATTAATTCCTAAAATTTTCCAATTAATATTTTTTGTCTTCATTGGGTTGGCAATAATCAAAACCATGAAAACAATATGCTGATCAAGAAGGATTAACACTATAAATGGGCAAATATAGACAGCAAGTATGCTCCCCAACTCTGTATTTTCATACTGCTTTTCACCAATAGAATTAGAGAGAATTCCTTTTCCCCCTGAATCTGGACTGGTAATATTAGTCAATTTTACCAAAAACAACAAGAACAACAACAACAACAAAAAAAAACAAAACCACAATAGCCATGACATTGTATGTTCTCAACTCTAGGCATTGATGTTTTCTTTTCACATATTTGAAAGCTAGCTCTCTGGCTCTCACACAGAGAGGTCACATGGGAAAGGAGCCACAGCAGGTGAGCCAACACAGACAGAAAAAACATTCAGACCACACTGCTGGTCTATTAGATACATTTGTGTGACTTTTTGGACCGTTCTCTTAATTTCTTCACTTTTAATATTTATATTATGTTCAAATATAACAAAGAACATAATAAAGTACTTTAGAATCCTGTGTAACTACTAGGTGTAAATACTGCATATTTGATGACCTGCAAAAAGCTTCACTGAACTTGAGCACGACCCACAAAATAACACGTGAACAAAGAAGGCTCATATAGCCTTCAAACAATGATAGTTGGAAAGTAAATCAAGCCCCTGAGTATCTATCTTCATGTTATCATATGCAGACGGGTGGTTTTGGTTTTATTGGGTGTGGAAATAAAAATTATGTATTTATGTTCTTAGAATAGTGACAGTGTTGCTACACTGGCATCCAGATATATTTACTTTTGCTGAGAAGTCAAATGCCATTTTGATTTTTGAATTTGCTTTTGAAGCTCCTATTCCTTTCTACATGATGCTTCCAATGTTTTTCTTGCTCCAGTATCCGATATTTAGGACTGATGTTTCTTCCTGAGGGTAACTTTTCATTCATCCTTTAGGTAGTGTATTCACTTGGGGCTCTTAATTTGAGATTAGAAGCTTAAGAGTTTGATGAAACATCCTGTCTTAAAGATTTGATCATTTCATTGTCTTTTTTGTAACTCTTCTCTCTGTTACAAGAAAAATATAGATATTTGAATTTCAAAAAATGATGGCTTCATAACTAACTATCCTTTGTTTATTACTTTGGCTTATGTATGCTGGTATTTTGAAATTACCCTCTACTTTAATGATCTTTCATTTCTCAATTTTTTAAATTAGTATTAATTGAATTAGCAATGCTGAGACACCTGTGTGGGGCATAATTTGGTATTTTCATTTATGCACCCAGTGTGGAATCTAAAATTTGAACTCAGAAATAGAACAGAAGGATGTTAAAAGAACTGAGGTTTAGAGAACTGTGGCAGAGAAACTGACGGGGTAAAGGAGACAAAATTTGACACAGGAAGAAAATATTTTGAGATCTGTTATACATGGCAAGGTGGTTCTAAGTCCATCATTATTTATTACATATTTCAGAATAACTAAGTAAATTTCAAACACCTTAATGTGAAAACTCTACACAAGAAGGATGATAAGTACTATAATTAACTTGATTTAACTATTAAAATGTATTTAATGTACATTTCTATCTATAACTATGTCTATTATCAAATAGCTTTTCATACATATTCCTTCATGCTTCTGTGTGAAATAGCCTCTCGGATACTACAACAGATGTTTGGTCACATTATTTTAATCCTTCCAGTTCTTTACTTTTTTTTTTTTTATGTGTCTTTCTGAATATTCAACCCTTCACTCATTAGTCTACCTCATACTTTTGCTTTGGGGGGGGCGGATTTGTGATTTAATAATGTTTGCAATTAACTTCTCTAAAATATTTTATGAGTCCTAATCATATTTAGTTGTGAAGAATTAAAGGCCAGATAAATGCCTTTGGTTCTGTTTAGAATACCCCAATTTCTGGGCTTCAATTTAAACAATGCTTTTGAAACAACTTTTTCTGAGATGATTGGTGTTTTTGTTTTTGTTTTTGTTTTTGTTTTTGTTTTGTTTACTTTTATCATTGAGCAAATTCTTCAGCTTTTGATTCTGGGGGACAGAAGTCTCACCGTTGCCGTATCTTTACTCCTGCCAATGAGTGGGAAGTGTTTGCTTTTCCGTGGGACACAGCCATCTCCTGTGCTACGACCGCGCTTGTCAATACGCTGTCCTTGCTGCGCCGATGTGGGGTCTGCAGCCTCCGAGCAATGCCGGCGTGTGCCTTCAGGGAGGAAAGACAGGTGGTTTGACGAGGAAAATAATTTGGAAAAGTTAAAGCAATTAAACAAACTTGCAAACATTATTCTGTTGCAAGACCTGTATTTGTGCTGGTTTCGGCAGCACGCATACTAAAATTGGAACCATACAGAGAAGAGTGGCATGTTCCCTGTGCAAGGAGGACACTCAAACCCATAAGGCATTCCACATTAAAACAAAACAAACAGAAATACCCATATTCGGCTTCCATTTTCAGTGGTTGCGAATGGCTCCAGCTGGCTGGAGCTCAGGTGAGCCCCACACACTCAGAAGGGCTGCGCGGTGTGCTTAGCAAGTGTCCTTCCTCACCCTTCCGGTTCCTTTTTTTTTTTTTTTTTTTTAATGGACAGAATCAGTAAACAATCTTTTACGTTTAGTGGGAGATTATTTTGTTTTGTGAAAGGAAGATTCCTTTTTGTAAAAGGGAGATTAGGTATTTTTAATGTTCTTTAATCTTTTCTTTGTTGGTGTTATGCTAAAATACATCAACAATTAAGAAGTGTGCCAAGAAGATAAAATGAGAGAATGCCATTTCTAGAGATATACTTGGGGTTTAGTGAAATATCTTTTAGTATTTATATGATTTATTTTTCTTTTATTCTCCAGGATTATGTATTTCTTTGAAAAATTGGTGTATCTAAAAGAAGAAGTGAGGGACAAGGGTAAATATCTGAGGTGTCTATTTTGCATTTTGTAGGTATATATTATCTACAATAAGGTCATTAATATATGTGAGAATATGCAAATATTTAAATGAAGATATTCAACATACAGTGCTTGTTAAGAAAAAAACACAAAAAGAAAATAATTGTATCTCTCTCTTGTTTATGGTGTAATTTATCTTTAAGATTGGTCATGCTAAAATGTCAACGGGATACTGTATCACACAAATCTAGAGATTTTGGTAATTAATTCTCTTTTTGGGGCAGAACTGGGAATCAAACTCAGGACCTTCTACTTCACAGGGAGGCAAATACGGCGCTGTGCAATATCCCTAGCCCTGTGCTAGCTATTTCTGTCAGTTTCCGAGCGTATGGACTTGTTTCTGCTGCATTCACGAAGGAAATTCCTTGTACGATGATTTGATGGCGCAGAGGGCAAATTTAAATTTACAAGACAAGAATTGTGTTAAGGTAAATGCTTTCTTCAAAAGTCACCTCAGCTTTGTTATTACTTATTTAAAACTACAAAGATTTTGTTTATCCATGTATTATTATTAAATGTTTTCGGTTGAGTGAAAACTATGCACATATTAGCTACTTATTTTTTATGTTTTACGTAAAAGGTTTTTATAAGTTAAATTCACTTAATACTATGAGTAGGATAAGAGATTCTGAGTAGTTAAAATAGGCAAAATAATAATATATTTGTTATAAATTGGTTATCGTAATATGACCTAATGGTGAAAATAAGATGTATTTTTCTTAGAGCTAAAAAACATTAAAATAATTAAACTCCATTTTATGTGTCTGGTATATCTAAAGTAGTTGATCCATAACAAGTTCCACTTTGAAAGTGATTTTTGGTAGTGCTTCTAAAGTTTTATAGTGCTTATACAATCTTCCCTTCCCTTAGAGGCTACAAAGTTATTTTTCAATTATTACTCATATAAACAATATTATTTACTTCATTCCAAAAAATTAAAGTATGTTATTAATCTAAAGCACATAATTTACTCTCAACTGAGTTAATTGTAGCTTTTTTCACTTAATTTTGTATTTTCTAAAAGCATACCATACCAGTGATGACATATTCTAACCTATTTGTAATAATTATTTAAATACTATCAACATTCACAATGCGAATCATTAAAAGTAGTATATTTAAGTCATAAATGAATCAAAGAAGGGTCAGCCAAATAGCTCAGCAGATTAAAGGTCCTACAAGCAGGCGCAGGGGCTGGAGGTTTTATCCCTGGGCCTGCCAATCGGGGCATGCCCCTGGGGCGCTAAAACTGTAATTGAGACTAGGCGTGGTGGCACACATCTGTAATCCCAGCACTTGGGAGGCTCTAAACAGGAGAATCACTATGCTTCCAATCTAGAATTGCGACCCTAAACACCCTATAGACCCTTCCCTAAAATACAGAAAAATTGAATCAACGAATATTTATTATATTTTGAATAGTGCTACTGACTAGCTAGAATTCACAGACGTATTTTCAAGTAAAGATTCAGCTCTTTTAATTAATTATATTAATCCAAACACTAGTTTACCTTACTAGCTTAATCAAGAGCATAAACAACATCCAGTTAACTAATATATTTCATTTCAATTACAGAATTTAATGAAGAATAGTTTCATTAAACTAACAGCACAAATATGGTCTTCTGGTTGGATGTTTATAAATGGCGGATCCAGGAATAAATGTCAGAGGAATTTTAAATTTTTACAACAAGGGTATTAATAGCCACTGAGGAAAAAGACAATTTTGGTTTTGGAAAAACTGCATTCTGAGAAGTCACAAATGCAGGTGAGAGAAGAGCTCAGTGTTAAGAGCATTTGCTTAACACACAGGAGGACCTAGATTCACTCCCTAGCACCAAAATTAGTCAAATTTTTAAAACATTAAAGCCATTATGTTTAATAAAAGCAGTGCTACAAAATGAATTTTACAAACAAATTCTATTTTAAGGTTGGCTTAGCTAAATTAGCAATTAATTTATCTGTTCATTTTATATACTTATAAAACTTTGAATTACAGAAGGAAACTAATTAGAGTGAATCTTAGGTTATCCTGTCCCTTTTATTTAGTACATAAGATATTTCTTATAATCATCACAAAATTTCCATCAAATACTAACTGATTTAATCAATATGGAAACTAAATCACAGAAAATTATCAAATTGCTGTATTTTTTGCGGACAATATTTTGTCCTACGTATATGCATTTGCAATGCCCAGCTTTTATACATTTCCCTATACATTGCGAAGAAAATGTCAGGTGTAAAAATGGTGCATGATATTAAATGCTAAATAAACCACTTTCTCAATATCTATTAAGTTTTTTAAACAAAGGAGTAGATATATTTTTCTTTTTTAGCAACTATCAAAGTTAAAATAGTATGAGACATATTGCATAATAGGATATGATTTGAATGATTAGAAAAATATAATTAAGCTAAGAATTGAATAATATAAATTATATTTTCTGTATTTCTGCTTTTTATCTAATTTGTTTCAAGATCTGGAGAGGACTTTTAAATAGAAAGAATAACAATAGATCTTAATATAGAAATAATTTGTGATGGTGTGAGTAAAAAATAGAAGTCACCCTGGCCGGACTGTGCTACTAGACTGAACAACTCATTCTGCAAAGGCACACTATATTATTTTAAATTTGTCTATTCTGCAAACACCTGCTGTATCCTTATGGAAATATCTAATTTCTATTTCTATAGAAGATGTCTTATTTTCCAAATGATTTAATAAAGCAGTTTAATTAAACAATGTTGGATCAATATGTTACTAAATGACAGATATTTAACCTTTACATAAATATTTACGCTATATGAATACATATAGGTCAAATCTAAATATATCCCAAATGCACTAAAAATTCAGAGGTTACACATTTCTAACAATATGAGAGAAAGAGTTGAAAGAGATATTTTATTTTATTTTTATCGGGTGCCGAGTTTCACAATGCAGCTCAGTCTCGTAGTGATCCCCCTGTCTCAGCTTCCCCAGTGCTGGGATTATAGGTCTATGCTGTCGTGCCTGCTTTCAATGGCCAGCACTGTGTGACCAGGTTTCCAGGGTGATGCCAGGGATCAAACTCAGGACCTTGTGCATGCCATGCAGGTGCTCAGACTGCCAAGCTATCTCCGTAGCCCTGAAAGGGACATTTTATATTGAGCAACCATGATTAGTTCTGCTTTGTATAGCTTTGTCTCCCTAATATTTAGCATCAACTTTAGTTATAAAATTGGAATGTTGTTATTTCTTAATAAATATTACAGCACAAATGTAAGCTATTAGTTTTTAGTTGACTACCAAATTAATAGTAGATACAAATATTGTCATTGAAATCTACTTCTATTACATAAGAAAGTATCCCTCCAACAGAAGACCCAAACACTTCTTCCATGCCAGGTCAACACTACCTTTATCCTTATGATACACTCAATGCTGTCCACACAGTGCAGATTTTCCATATCCATATTTTCCATATCATTTATATTATTTGGAAATATTATTGAAATATAGGAATATATTATATCATATGTTATATTATATAATGTATATTATGGAAGTATAGTAAATGGGAATATTATATTTATATTATTTTCATTTGCATATTATTTCCATATGGGAATAATATCAATTTTGATGCTTTGCGTTGTAGTGTTTAATGCTATCACCATCAGTCTTGTTCTAGTCTCAGATTTTATAACAATCCTGTGTCCTTTCTGATTTTTTTTTTCTTTTGCAGAACCAGGGATTGAACTCAGGCCCTTGCACTTGCCGGGAAAGTGCTTATTCTACTGAGCCATCTCCCTGGCCCCCCTGTGTCCTTTTTGAATTAGTGGATCTGATTTGATTGTTACATTAGAGAAAGTTATTTTGTTTATACTATGTATGTTGATGAGTTGCAAAGACATTAGCTTACTGAATAATGTTCAATTACACTACAGCTGTTTTTACATTCTATCTCAGCTTTTCACTTTTTTCTTTCTGCCATCACTCCTACTATTACCTAACGCATGAGAAATGCTTCAAATACCCCAAATATGAAACATGAAATGTTAGTTTTGATGTACTTTACAGAAATATAAAGTACATTTTTGTGTCTCAGTCTTAATCTAGTTCATGCAGTAATAACACACATACACAGTGTCTCAAAAACAAAAAAAGGAGGAAAAGTTCAATGAAATGAAATGCCGTGTAATGTCATAGGTTCAATTCCCAATTGGTAATCTATCTATCTATCTATCTATCTATCTATCTATCTATCTATCATCTATCTATCTATCTATCTATCTATCTATCTATCTATCTATCATTTTAAACGGATTTTACACACATAGTCCCTCAGTACCACAAATTATGCAGTTAAGCTTCTTGCCGTTGAGATCTGCACATCGAGGGTGCATGCATGACCCTCACGCTGGGAACACCACCTTTGTGATCATAGCATCTCCCTGCCAGCTAAGTCTACCGATTGCTTCTTG